CTGTCTAGACCAGAGGAAGCCACACTGTTCACACAGGATGAGCCTCAGCTTTCCTCTGGTCCATGCTATTGAATGAGAACCCAAGATGACAGTAAATGTGTTTTTAAATTCTGCGGTTGTATTCACATAGAAGACTAAGATACATTTGTATTATCTACAAAGGAAAAATAGTCTTAAGCATCTCTAAAGATTTACATATGAAACAAGATAATTATCAACACTATACACAACTTGACAGAATTATAGAATTCCTACAATACCTTTCATTTTCTTATCAGTTGTTTCTGCAGTAGTAACCTTATGTGCATTTGGCTCTGGCATTTCTTTAGAGGCCATCATAGAGTTCCGATGAACTCTCTTTAATAGAGTAGAAACTGGAAATGCAATCAAAACAGGGAGTCATGTCAGACTCATGGCAGAAAAACAGAGGAAACTAACAATGGTGAGTGTTTGTACATTTGATAAGATTGCTCGTTTCCAGGGATAGTGAGACTGTGCTTCCGGAGGATCACTGAATGCAATGTACAATCAGTCAAGCACTGCATGGACATGACAGGTAAAGGCTAAATTTATGTGACAATACAGAAGGATTAGTCACATGACTGAACACATTGTGTTAGCGTGGTGCCTTCTTAGAGCCACATGGGCACAATGACACCCATTCACCAGTTGCTTAGTAGGACACTAAGAAATTGTTAAGGACTACCCATGAGACTCACTAGGCTAAAACAGATCTTTGTAATGTATACTGTAGGGAAGAGCACAGCTATTGCACAAGTGCCCTGTGATGTCTGTGAGATACCAAGAGACCTCAGCTACACAGGAGTAACTGAATTCAGAGCAAATATTGCATTTACTCCAGAACACTAGAGAATGGCTGTTTACCCTTCATTCTTTGACTACCCTGTATATAATACATCTCAGGGACAATGTGTGATATTGCCTAATGGGAGGTAGGACAGTAAGAAGCTGTGAAAACTTGGGACTTTTCACACAAGGGAACAGTAACAGCTGCATTCCTGTGTCAGTGACCACCCACTGACACCAACAGCTGAAGGCAGCCATGTTCTACCCTGCCACCCCTGCCTCAAAGTGGGAGTTTCCTCCAAAAGAAGCTGCAGCATTCCTGGATTAGTAAATAGAGCCTCCACTGTCACCTTCAACCAGCAACCTGCCTCTCAGGGATTCAATCTGGAGATCAGAGAACAAAACTGGGAGGGTACCAATGCTTGCAGACGTCCCATGATGACTCAGACTCTAAGTCAATCTAAACCAAGTTGTCAGGTAAAGGTTGAGTGTGGCGCAGTGGCCCAGAAATATAAGTCTGTTCCACCTTGAATAAAGGTCACGGAGTGTGAGCTTATTTTTGCTCTTTCAAATTGTTGATAACAGGTGTGGCCACAAACAAGCGATCCTGTCCTAGAGTGTGGTTAATTAGTATTTTGAGTATAGAAATGGATCCCCCTCCACCTTGCTATTCCTGCTCCTTCAAAGGAGATTGGCAGGAGGTTCCAGGTAGTAGCTGACTGCAGGATACTTGGTCTATTCTTTATATGATGTTAATGAAGTCTGTTGCCTTCCTTCTTCCCTTTTGGAGTGAAGTATATAGGCATGTGGAAAATAAATGCTGGGCAGTTAAGTACTCACTGAATATCCCTCCCAATGATGTTCTGTGTTTTTGTCTTTTATTTCTCTTACATCTCTGTTCCTTTTGTTTAATTTTAATTCTCACGCTTCTACATGGAACGTGTGGGTTTCATCAAGGCCGGATCCCGACAGACGGTTGGGAGAAAAGAAAATTCTTTTAATCTGGTCAAACCTGGATAAGCCCTCAACAGGAAGAGATTGGAAAAGCAGAATAGTGTCATTGTGGGTGACAAAAACCCCTGAAACTGTGTAGATAGCCTAAACTGAGTCTAGCTAAGAAAATGGTAGCCTACACTAGTGCTCTCTCTCTCTATCTGTCTCTCTGGTAACCTACACTAGCTCTCTCTTCTCTCTCACTCTCTCTCTCCTCTCTCTCCTTTCTCTCTGTCTCCTCTCTCCTCTCTTCTCCTCTCTCTCTCTCTCTCTCTCTCTCTCTCTCTCTCTCTCTCTGTGAGTGTGTATGCAAGATGCAGCTTTTCACCCATTCCTCATGAAAATTCTTTTTCTACAAAATCTTCTTCCATACACAGACCCAACAGGGGCAACTGGCAAAGTCCCACTCCCCATCTTTTGTTTGTTTCTCTTTCCCCTTTTCAGAGGAAAGGTCTCTAGCCCACTGTGGTCTGAATGTAACTATGTAGAAATGGATGACTTTGAACTTACAGTTCTCCTGTCAGCACCTTTGAAGGAGGTTTGTAGAGCTATACAGCTACAGCACATCTTTTGCATAATGGTGGATCAAACCCAAGGCCTTAGAAACGGTAGCTATGTAATGAACCAGTTGAACCACATGCTTTTATGTTGCTTTTTGGGGAGGGGTTGTGTGTGTTTGTTGCACCTTTTTACTGATTATATATTAATTTTCTTTTTTAATTTGCCTGTTTCTTCTCTAAAGAGGGAGATAAAGAAGGTGGATGGGTGGTGAGGTGGGGAGAATCTTGGAGGAAGTGCAGCAAGGGAAACCGAGAACAGAATATATTGTATAAATTTTTAAGAAAAAAGAGAACATATTCAAAAATAAGCCTTGAAGAAAGAGTAATATCCTGGGAAATACTGTCTTCAAATGACAAAATATATTTCCACTAGACATTGCTTACCACTGTGCCACTGAAAGAGGAAACTCACACATCCCTCCCATTTTCCTTGTCCTTACTGATATCTTTTCCACACCAATCCCCTCCAAACACAGTGTGTAACATGAAAACTTCAGGGACCCTTGCTCATTTGATCAAACCAGGAATGCTGCCATCTGATTTGAATTTCACCCTCAGTCATGAGACACTGGACATTTATCAGGTCTGTGAGAAACATCAGATCACCTGCATCACCCATATGTGAGAGAAAGTATTAGAGAGTATGGTTTTCCCATTCCTATCTGTACCAGGTGAAACCATATGGATTTATATACAATGAGTCTCAGACTTCCACTGGTTCATGCTATTGAAAGAGAACCCAATGTGATATTAAATGTTTTTAAATTCTGTGGTTGAATTTACATTGGAGACTTCGATATATTAGTATTATCCTACATAGGAGAAATAGTCTAAGCTTCTCACAACCACTATACACAATTGGACAGAGTTATGGAATTTCCACAGTACCTTCCATTTTCATTTGTTCCGTTTTTGCATCCTGATTAGCAGTAGCTTGTTTTTCACACAATTTCCTTAGGATCGCAGGAACTGAGAATTTATAGCAGGGAATCATGTTAGTCTCATGACAGAAAAATAGAGAAAACTAACAATTGTATGTGTGATCTGAGCACTTGTTTTTAGGTACAGTCATCAGAGTAAGAATGGAGGTTCAGAAGGTTCACTGAATGCAGTTTATAATCAGGTAAGTATTACATGGACAGTGTGGGTAAAGTTTAAATTTATGTAAATGCGACAATAGAGAGTACTGGAAAGAGCTGTGTGTACCAAAAGACTAAGTGAAAAACATCCACCCCATTTCTTCATCCAGTGTCTCTCTCTCTCATTCTCAGAATCGCTGACCTGAGTAGAAGCATTTGGCTTTTCTACCCTTCATGCTTGTGAATGTCTGTAGGTAGATGAAGAACAATGCCCTGAGCCCTCTGTGGTCATGACATGGTCTTGATCTCTGCAGTTTTGACCTATTGAAGGTAGATGCTGAGATGCTGGAACTTAGGGATTACCAAGTTCTGGGGCTACAAAGTGTCTCTTGATTGACATGGAGAGCCTCATCACTTACCTCTGTGCCCTGGTTTATTCTTTAGAGTAGCACACAAACAAATGTGCCATATGTGATGCGCTTCGAACACATATACTGTAGGTAAAGTATTTATCCTAATTTGTTAATTCATTAGTTTGTCACTGGAGGTTTGATTCAGTAATTTGGATAGCTATCTTTGGGAAAAACACATTTAGACAGAGCCTGGTATACAACATCCCCAACAATCTAAAGAGATCATAACTGAATCCAGTGACGGTAGACAGCCCCAGTTTGTTTGTTTTGTTTTGTTTTTAAGTTGGGGTACTACTTTTTTTAAAAAAAAACAAAAATCTAAGAAAGAACTTGGGGGCTTATATCACAGTGGTGCTTTAGACATAAGGATACCCAGTATTTATACATTTCTAAAATGACTCTTAAGAAGAAAATTCCATAATACATACTGCATCTGCGTTTTCTATATCCCACCTGAAATTTAAAGGAAAGAAAACAGTATGAGGCACAGGTCATGCTGAATTCTGTTTGCATGGATCTTGGGAACACATGCCAGCATGGTATGATGCCAATCAAAAATGAGCGAGAGTCCTATGTATTCATATGTTATGTGACAATGTCATAGAAGACCTGGTACTCTACAATTTGTGACAATCGCCACTTTTGCCAAAAAGAAAGAAAGAAAGGCAATCTGTTTTGTCTCTGCTGAATGTTTTCTTTATAACTGGACTGTGAGATAATTCCTTTTACAATTGGGCCTCAAATATTTACACTAATCCTCATGCCGTAAAAATCTTATCACTCAACATCCCCACACTGAAATTGAGAAACTTCCTCCATGGTGGCCTCTGTGGAACATATTCAAACTGCATAAAGACTACAGGCACCAGAAGTGGCTGTCAAGTTCTGAGTGAAAATTATACACTCTTCTAAAGAGGAACCCTTTTCTTCAGGGGAAACCATTCTCTTATACTCTGTGATAAATGACACTGTAAGCTTTTATGTTCAGTTCAACCAGGAACAAGCTGAAATAGTTCCATTTCCTTTTCTTCCTGAGCAAACCCATGGTTTTTGGTAATCAAATTTCATATCTACTACAACACAAGGGGCTGAAGTGACTTTTTATATTAGAGAAAGGAAAGGCTGTCTTACCTTCACCATTGGTGAAAGTGCAGTGTCAGCAGTTTTTTGCACCACTGAAAGGACAGAAAGTAATTTGTCAACACGTTGTAATTACTCCAGGGATCTTTTTTTTTTGGTATGTATAGAAGATTATGTAGCTAGCATGTGTGACTTGCTCTTAATTTTTTCTTCCAATCCAATCCTCCTCTTTCAGAATGGGGCAGGCCTCCCAGAGGTGTCAACAAAACATGGAGTAAAAAGTTTTAGATAAGACTAAGCTCCTTTCCTTATATTTAGGCTGGACAAGGCAATCCAGAATGAAAAATTGGGTCTTAAGAGCCAGCCAAAGTGTTTGCTTTCTGCTCATTCCAGAACTGTAGATTATATTGCTGGAAAACCAATTATGGAAAAGATAAGAATTAAAAAGAAAGGAGGAACGCAACTTTTGGTTTTCTAGACAATGGGAATCTAAATCAATGTGGAAGAATCTCTTTTATTGTGTGCAGAGTAAAAGAAAATCATTCAAGCACACACTGCATTTACACTGGTTGTAGGAAACCATGGACATTTCTCTGTGCTTAGGTGGAGTTCAGAGGAACTCTTCAGGGGTCTGGTTTTCTCTTTTTACCATGCGAATTCTGGGATTCAACTGCAGTTAGATCAGCAAGCTTGACTGAAAAGCCATTATGCATCGATCCAACCTATCTTAGAAAATAAAATAAGCTTCATGATTAAATGACAGACTACTACCACTTTCTGTTTCGAAGCAGGGAACAATTGACACATCCTGACGCACATGCCTCAAGCCTATTTCAGCCTTCACCAATTCACTTATGTTGATTCAGAAAGTACCATTAATTATGATCCATATTAAAGTATCCATTTTACTTGGTAAATTTTACTAGGATGAGCATATATGTCTGAGAAAAAATTTGCCTATATTGTATGTACATTATTCTCTAAAATATAGCATATCATGTAATATATTGTTATACTGTACTGAGTATTATCAGTATTCTATATGGTTTTGAGGAACATGGAGAACATCTACGTGTTACAGCCCTATAAGATACAGTACAATACAAGGGCTTGGTTAGTTGCAGATATTGGTACTCAGGAGTCTGGGAAAAATTGTAAGAAACTACTGAGATAATTGAACATAATAACACAACTCTGCAAACCATGGTCAAAGAAGTAAAGAAAGTATGGCATCACTTTCCAAATTCACATTATTCAAGAATTTATCCAAAGTATAATGTGAAAGAACCAATCATAAATTCCAATTTTTAAGTTCAATGTTGAGCAATCTGAGAAACAATCATTTTGGGTATCACTGACAACAATGATATTATCATGCATCAAGTACCAACATTTATGGAAGTACCACACACAAAAAAGAACAAAATTAACATATGTCTCAAATTTAAAGGTAACAGTGGACCAAAGTCAGAATAAGAAAATATATCCTTTTCAATTGGCATAGTTTTGTCACTCCATCACACAGTATACTGGTTTCATAAGACTGTACCCACACCACCTGCCTTCCCCTCCCATTTCATTAGTCCTCTTTATTGACAAAGAAGCCTTTACATTGTTCACATCATATACACATATGAAATTTTACTTTTACATAAACACCTAGACCTTCAGATGAAAGAAATCACTTAGTACTTGTCTTTTTTGATGTAACATAAGACATTTAACAAGACAATTACATTCTATTTTCTGCAAATGACATAATCCTATGCTTCTTAGTAGTTTACATACTATCTTATTTAGGGTTTATTACTGTGACAAAACACTATGACCATAAGCAACTCATGGAGGAAAGAGTTTATTTCAGCACACAACTCTCTTTTTACACTCAGTTTCTAGGGACATCAGGACAGGAACTAAACAAGGCAAGAATCCAGAGCCAGAAGAGGATACAAAGGCCATGAAGGAGTGATGCTTACTACCTGCTTTCTTCCAGCACCCAGAGACACTACCATAGAGGTAGCACTGTTTACAGTGAGTCAGGCCCTCAATATCAATCATCAATGAAGAAAATGCACCACAGACTTGACTACAGGTAAATCTAGTGGACAGTAATAGAAGTTGATTATAGATTACTGTAGAAGTGTAACATGTATTTCAGGCAATTGTGTGTGTGTGTGTATGTTGTGTATGTGTGTAGGTGGATGTCAACTGGAACATGAGAGCTAAAGGAGGGCATGGCAAAACATGACCTCTTTCTACTTTCCTTCAGGTCTCACAGAAGTCAGAGATAGGATCACAGCCAGCAAGCACCAGAAATCTCCTGTCTATTCCCCCAACAGTGTACGATTACAAGTATGAACAGCCCTGTTCAGCTTTTTTTTTAATGTATGTGAACAGATCCAAGCTCAGATCTACTCCTTTTCCAGCAACTGTTCTTTCCTCACTGAGTCATTAATTAATGAAGTTAATCTTATAAAGCTACTTGAAATGGTGTGTCAATTTTGTTTGTAAATCTCTCAAATGGAGATCACTATATATGGTCTGTAAGTATGTAAATAATGATAGAATTTAATAGTTTACCATAGTTTGTGGACATCAACTGTAAAATAGATATAGTCTGTAATTTAGACATGTATGTTTTATCTTAAAAACTTTATATTTCTAGACCACGTAGTACACATGTAAGCCTTGTACAGCTGATGAAAACCTTTAAGGAAAATTCCAGTACAACACATATAATTGGGGACTTTGTTTCACAAGGTCAATGTGAAGGACATGTACTTTCATTTTACTTCTTTTACAGAAGGCTACAGTGAGGAATATATCTCAGTGGGGTTTGTGTCTTCCCATGCAAAAGAGATATTCTATATATTAGGTGCTACCTCTGGCTCAGGTACTAGTGGAAACAGAGTGGAGTGTAGGGTAAAGTTTGGGAAAAGATACTGCCCTAATCTGTGTCATAGCACTTAGGGGTTTCATAAGGGGCCAATGTGATGACCATATATCAGTGAGTCCTTCACCTTCTTCCTTACAATCCCTAAAGTTTGGAATAACCTTTTCTGGCCTTGTTGTTCTTCTAATGGGCATAGTCTCGTCCTGTTAATGAGACTTCCTCTGGCTGATTTTAGTTCAGCTCTTCCTTCTCTCTTCACTTGTCCATGCCATAGCTAATCACCAGAAGCTCTCTAGCTTTGTCCACCAGATAAAGGAGTGAACTAAATAAACCACTAAGATTCAAATGTCTTTCTTTCTTTGTATATTGTCCCTAGAAAGGTTCTACACTCTTTATTTCAATGGTCGTATCTGTCCAGTGAGTTTGGCCAGAAAGAGATGATTAGATATAACAGAAAAAGAAAAGAACTATCTGGACTGAGAGTGGGGAGCATGCCAGAAAGCTAACCTATATTCTGTAGATAGTGTATTATATTAAGCAGTATTAGAAACAAGGTAATTGGTGGGAGAGACCTCCAAGACTCTATAGATATCCAGGCACAAAATGCAGAGTCAACATGGTACTTGGGAAATGGGGAAACTTCTGGAGAGGAATAAAAGGCAAGAAACTCCAAGAGGGTGTATTAAAGTGTATGAGGCTAAAGGTGGGGTGATGGGGCTCTGTAGGACACACTACTCACAAGCAGGAGACCCAGAGTATGTAGTGAGTGACACAATGCATTAATCCTACAAATCTTGCCTGTCATGATGGAGCCAAACATGGCTAAACAATGAAAGGATGCAGAAGCTTGTGATGAGCAAGGCTTGAGCCTTATGAGGAGGCTCCAAGGAAGACACGGGAAACTCATTTCTGAGATTATAAACTCCTTCCCATAAATAAGATAAGACAGGTAAGGCTATAACAAGTGAAAGGCACACATAGTGACAGCATAAAGGACAGACAGCTCTATGACCAGGTAGCTGCCAAGAGAGCTGATATCCACACACCTGAAGTCCTTTAGTCCCAGGGACAAATGTAGTTTACTAGAGTACCCAAAGCCATGCTTGGAATACTGATGGCTGAGCCAAGAATTTATGAAAGGGGGCCAAGCATGTGCTAGAGTTCAGACTACAGACCACATTATAGGTCAGAGTCTCAAAGATGGATGTCAGATCTCTAATCTCAGACATCCTGTATGTCAGTCTGAGGTGAGGAACACTGATTACAAAAGAGCTCAAGTCATATACGGAGTGAAACCTTACTCCCAGAATTGCAGACTCTTTAGACACTCGACTATGTGGGGCCCATGAAAAGCACGGTTCACAAGGAAGAGAGGATTATGATGAGCTGCTACAGGACCTGGGAGAAGAAGGGAGAGAACCTTCTTCTCCTGCATCATTGGGATTACACTAGAAGACTTTTACCTACAAGTTCTTTGTGAGGAGAGAAAGCTATTCCCTACCCAATAAATTGTCTCTGATACTGGTTAATTCTCAAGTGAAAACAGCTCCATAATGCTGAAACTCAGCTGTCAAACTGATGAGATCCATGTCCTCTGAGCATGTCCCTGGGGTTTATCTTGATTAGATTAAGTTAGATGGGATGTTCTGTTCCCTGTAGGTACAACCATTCCCTTGGATGGGGTCCTGGACTTTACAAAAGGAAGAAAAGTCAGCAGAATACAGTCATGGAGTTTTCTTTTCTTCTGGGGTCTGGTTGCAATGCCACTCTCTCTCAAGTTTTTGTCTCTATTGCTTTCCAATTATGGACTCCAAACTCAAACTCCATGGTAAAGTAAACCTTTCCTTGCTCATTGCCTCTGGAAAGTAATCCTAACAAAACTTCCAAGGATAACAATAGTCAAAAGCTTGGGCATTGGGAGTGGTAGAAGAAAAATGGTCTATGTGTTTTGGGAATACAGTGTCTAAATAACAGATACAAAGCACACTCAATCCTGCCACTCTTAACCATTTTGAACTTTAAAGAGGAAAAGCACAATACCTCACACATTTCTGTGTCTCTATTGATTTTTTCTACTCCTTTACCCTCCCAAGCACAAGGTCTAAAACGACCACCCCTAGAGTCCTCTCCTAATAGACCTGACTAGAAAATGCCCTTATCTAAATCAAATTTCATCCTCACTCTTGAGACTTTGGACATTAATCAGATCACTTATGAGACTTTCCACATTTGCATCATCTATGTCTGGGATAAAGCAACTGAGAATGTGACTTAGTCATTTATGCCTACTCCAGGTGAAGCCATATTCACTCATACAAGATAAGGCTCAGCTTTCCTACAGTTTACCATTACTTAATGAAAGGCAAAAGTGCTCTTTAACTGAATATTTAAATTCTGTGGCTGTATTTCTACTGATGAGCTAGATAAATTAACAGTATCCATATATTAAAACCTATAACAAAATGTCTCCATAGATTTGCAAATAGTACATAGAATAAAGGGCATCTATTACACATAACTAAACATAATTACTGAATTCCCTCGTACCTTCTGTTTTAATTTGTGCTGTTTTTCCGGAAGGACCAGCGGCGACTTGAGGTGTGTCCTCACCAAGGGGGATCACAGGTCGCTTTCGAGAAATTATCTTTAACAGAGTAGAAACTGGGAATGCATTCACAACAGGGAGTGTTATGTCAGCTTCATGGAAGACAGAGGAAACTGATAATAGTTGAGTATTTGTACATTTGATCTCATTTATTTTCAGGTAAGTCACTGTAGTTAGAATGGTGCTTCAGGAAGATCACTGAGTTCAGTGTCCAATTAATTATGTATGACAATGTATGAAAAGTCTATTATGGATCACATGATGTTACAGGGAATGTCTAAATTAATACCGATGTGACAATAGAGAAAGAAGAGACTGTCTTGATGTGGTGCCTGACAGGCAGCATTCAAATCCCACTGAGAGAATCATGATGTAGTGAAATCCATGTAATCCATCTGTGATCACATCTTGTTACCAGCATGCCGTAGGAATTCCTACAGCCAGTAGCCTTTAAGTTACCTGCCCACTATGGCGTGGCCTCTTATACTATAAATGCCAATGTAAAGCACACAATTGGCCTCTCTTCAGGCTGCAGGATTTGATTGCTGTTCCTCGTTCAAGCAGAGGACTATGATTTGTTAGTCTACCCCTATGTATATATGTTCATGGGCTCATGGCTAGTCTCTGAAATTTGGTCAACCTGCTAAAGACAAAGTAAGTTTCTATACACTCTCCTTCCACCAACAGATCTTATAGGGGCCTCTTCTATTTCATTTTATTATTTTTGATCTTTCATCGATTATTTGTTTAGCCTCGGCTGGCCTAACATTCACTATTTAAAAAAGGCTGGTCTTGAACTTATGACTTTCCTGCACCCACCACTCTAAATCAAAGAATATAGACTGTGCAATAATGGGTACGTTATACAGAGTACTTGAAACAAAACTCGAGTTTTTAGACATGATAGGTATGTTCTAAGCCAATCCCTATAATAGCTCTACTAAGCACATCTGGCCACTGGTAAAAGCCTGAGCATGAAGACACACCAGTGCAAACAGAATGATACCCGGTGACACTCTTCCACACTGACTATAGAAATCCACCAAGAGAAAACATAGAATAGGCAACATGGAGTCTAATTACCCATGACAGGAAGTAACTTTGTTGTTCAGAGTCTAGCTCTCGTTTAAAAGTATATTGTTGCTTGCTTGCTTTGATCTTGTGTAAGATCAAAGAGATCAACACTGGATTATAAGGAGGAGAGGCTCAAAAGCCCTTATTACCCCTAACTAATAAGCTATTGGCAACTTAGGGCTTCTGTGTGAGGGACAGATAGTTTGAATTAAAGGTGTTGTCTCTGGAAGGTCAATCCACTGTCAGCAGGTGCCCCTACATGTTTGAATATATGTCTAGCATAAAATGAACTAGAAAGTTACTTTTAAGGATATAAATTTGAGCAAAGGTAAAAAGGGAGAGAGGATCTGAAAATAGTAAGAGTAATCATGGATGATTATGACAAAATGTAGTGCATAAACTTATTAAAATTAATAAAATTATATTAACAATTTAAAAAGAAATAAAGATTAAGTGTATTGCTGGAATAATATAATGATCCAGCACTGACCATTAAGCAAATGATTACTGCAATTATTAGTAGACACTGTTCTTAAATTTTGTGGCTCTTTGTGCCCATGCTAATGTTGTCTAATCTGCTTATGGTTTTTCCAGATCTTCCTGGAATGAGCCATATCTATGATTAACCCAGTTGAGACATATCCACTCAACTTTCCCCTGTACTGTATTGCATTTGCAGGCTCTGTCATCTGAAAGGAAGTATGTGTTTCTCTATCTTTCAAAACCGTGACTGTCTGCTGCATGCTGAATGGCACTACCTAGGACTTCTAACCACTACAACTGTTATTGCAGCGTTTGGGATCCCTATGGATTTGCCTTATTGCATGCTGATGCAAGAAAGTAGAACTTTCCCACAGGAATTATTGTGCCCTTGATGGGGTAAAAGGTGGCTCTTGAGATGCATAGCTAAGGAGCCTCATCACTAGCTCTCTGGTTAATTCATCTATAAAGGAACACAAGCATGTAACCCAACCCTGCATGGCTGTGATGAGGTTTGAACACATTTTTGTAGATAAACTGAGTCTTGATTTTTCAATTTGCAACTTGTCACTAAAAATTGGGTTGGATAGTTGGGATATTTTTCTTTGCAAAAAAAAAAACAATTATAAATGACTTGGTGAAAAAAATCCTGCAAATAATTAAAGGAATTACAATTACACAACAACCATAGACACGTGGCCCTGATTTGCTACTTGAGATGTCACTTCCTTTAAAAACAAAACAAAAAATATAAAAACCTATTATTCTCATTATTAGTAAGCAGGTTAGATCACAGTGGTCCATCACACAAAAGACAAAAGTGTTTTTACAATTACCACCCAAAATGTGTCTTAGAGAGTGATTCTACAGTACATACCAAATCTGCGTTTCTTAGAGATCACCTGTAATTGAAAGGAAAGAAAATAAAATTTAGTTCATATTGAGTAATGTCTGTAAAGGTCCTTCAATAGCTGACATAATCAGGATAGAAAAGAGCAGTCCTGTGGAGCCTGTATTAATGGTCTCCTCATCTGATGAGAGAACAGAAGATTTGGGGTTCTGTCCTTTGTGCTAAAGACTAGTACCTTTTACATTTTTTTATGATTCAAGGGCAGATCAGAAAACCTGTCTGGCCTCTACTAAAGGTTCCCTAACCCACATAACATATCATCTATGAAAACTTGCCTTTTTCACTAAGATATTTTCTAATTCTAGGGCCTACTGTAGAAATAATTTGAGCATATAACCTAAAGTTTAAAGTGTGTTCAGCAACATGAGAATCTTTAAGATATGATGTACTGGGCTGGAGAGATGACTCAAATATGAGGAGCACTGGCTGCTCTTCCAGAGGACCTGTATTCAATTCCCAGTACCCATGTGGCAGTTCACACCTGTCTGTAATTCCAGTTTCAGGGCTCCTGATACCCCCATACTGACATACATGCTCATACTGGCATTTGATTTCTAGTACCCATAGGTGCTTCTGTCCTTCTTGGCACCAAGTTCACAAATGATGCAAATATACACATGCAGGCAAAATGCTCACACATTAAAGAACAACAGCAAAAACACCCATGATGTACCTGATCAGTTTAATGAATCAAATGTTATACCCTCTGAAATACAAGGAGACAACTGAGAGAACCTTTCTACCTCAGAAAGGAAAGGCACTCTTACCTTCACGGCCCTCACTGGTGGGTTTTGCTGGTCCACTGTTGAAGATCCACTCTTAGAAGGTGCATAGGATCCTAGGGGGATGGAAAGTGACTGTCAGCTCACAAACTACTTACTATTTGAACTGGACTTTACTTGATGTGAGTAAAATGCATGGGCTTAGTACATGTAATTGAACATAATGAACAAGATAAGATGGTTCGGTTGCTTCTGAACTGTCTTCCTATAAAGCAAACCAAGGCAGAGAGAAGACTTGGAGAAAAATAAGGATGTAACTTTGTACATGTAGTAAAGGTCTGATCCAGATGGCCTTCTGAAATTCAACTTCCTTTCCAGGCATATTGTCCCTCTCCATTCCTCCCAGTGATCTTGTCAGTCTGATGAGTTTTGTGGGGGGAGACATTTAGTGATATATCCTAGTACATCAAGGGCTGAAGTTGGGGACATGTCTTGTGGTTAGGCCACATTACATGGACAATGTGTTCTAGTATAAAGCATCAACAACAAGTTAACAAGAAGAAGGGACCACACCGGCCTCCATGGCTTAACAAACCTACAGTTGTGAGTCAACATGGCAATTATGAAAGAGGAGGGATGGACGTGGAACTGTGTCTTTGAACACATGACTAAAAAGAAGGAGCCTGACTTCACAGTCAATAGACACTGTACATTAAAACTATAGGCCTAACCTATGATTGGTACAAACCCACTTTCACAAAGAGAGAACCCAGGGGAAGTCGGCAAACTTCTGATGAACCTTAGCCATGACCTACTCAAGAAGCTATAATGAAGACACTTTGAGGAAAAAGATTCCTTAGATTATAACTTAAGGTTGCAGAAAAGATGAGACCAGCCAGATGATGCCAAGGGTGAGAGAGTCAAGTACTGATGACACAGAGGAGCCCCGTGAAACCATGGTTTTATCCTGAGGAACATGGGCAGTCTTTTAGGAGAACTGTCAAACCCAGGCTCTACATCTTGGAGGATGAATCAAGAATGCCTCAAAAGGCACAAAGGATGGGACAAAATGCATGCATGCCCTTTCTTATCCATTAAATCAAAGGATCCAAGATAACTCTCAGTCTCTACCATCCCTTAACTCAATCACCTAGCATACAGTTCAATATAAACAGACAGATTGAAAAGAAGCAAAAGAAAGGCATTATATCCTTAATTGTCAGGATATTGCCAGTGTTGCAATGAAGTCAGATTACAGAACCCTGCTAGCTACTTAGGTAACTTAAAATTCATTTTTTAAGTCTTTTGTTAAATTTCAACTGAGGAACTAAGCAAATTAACATTATCTACATAGGAAACCAATGCCAAGACTATCATATTATTTCACTTACAATACAATTCTATTTAAAAAACCAAATATCATTCAATGAAATTATTGCATTACAACTGTACCTTCTATTTCACCTTTGGATCTTTCTGTAGAAGTACCAGCTTGGACCTGAAGTCCTTTTGGGTCTTTAGGAACAATAGAGCATTCCCAGAGGAATTTTCTCCAAATTTTGGGACCTGGGAATGTATTAACAGCAGAGACAGTTATGTGATTTTCATGGCAGAAAATAGAGGACAGCAGTCATTTTTTTCTATAAACTATCTCATGACCCTTCTCCAGACACTCTCTTCAGAGTCATGGTGGTGTTCAGGAGGATCACTGAGTGTACTGCACACTCCAGCATGCATTGCACTGATGGTTTGGGTAAGTCATAAACTCCTGTTAGTTTGTCAGTGGTGTTTTTCCTGCTGAACATATGTACCTAATGAATGTTCATATTCAAATCATGGGGACTGACCACCCCTGAGAGGAAAAACTCGTGGAGGATAGAGTGTAAGCAACTTTTAAAGATGTATTCCCAATGGATGCACTTCTTTTGTAACAGCACTCTGTAGGCAAAGGCAGGTGAAGTAGTGTGAGTTCCAGACCAGTGGTTATATTAGGTAGTTCCAGGATAGTTATGGACACACAGTAAGTCCTGTCTCAAAAACAAAACAAAACAAAACAAAACAAAACAAAACAAAACAAAACACCGTATTCTCAAGGAATGAGATAGTACAGCTCATCCTGCAATGGGAGACTGCAATTCTCAGTGTACACTATCTCTAAATTGTGGGCCTTTTGCCTATTCTGATGTTTTCTAATCTCTTAATGATATTCTCCAGAATTTACTGGAATGCATAGTGGCTAATAAAATCCATTTTGGACTATTCACTCCAATCTCTCATGTACTTATTTAATTTTGATGCTCTGTACTCTGAAGAGAAGCATGCAAGCTTATCTAACTTTCAAAGCTGTGACTGTTTGATGACTACTGAGTGACACTACCTAGGATTTTAACTAGTATCACAGATAATGTAGTGCTTGGTTTCCTATTGATTTGTCTTATTGCAGGCAGATGCAAGAAGGCAGGACTCTTTCTTTCTTCTATGAGGATTATTGTTCCCTTGAGAGAATAAGAAGTGGCTCTTGAGATACATAGCTAAGAAGCCTCATCATTATCTCTGAGGTCTGGTTTATTCATTTATGGAAGAGCACACAAACATATAACTGACCCTGCATATCTGTGATGAGGCTTGAATGCATTTGTGTAGAAATGTTATATTCTGAATTTAATATACGTATCTGTTGCTGGAAATTGGGTTGGGAAAATAGCATGTTATTTTCTTGATAAAGAAGGTTTAGACAAAAATTGGGGAAAATGTCCCAAAATAAGAAAGGATTGCTCTTGAATATAAGAACCATAGACATATCCGTCATTTCTTACTTGGTGTGGCCCTTCTGCTCTGCCCCCCACCATCCCAAAAACTAACAAAATCTTAAAACCATAATTCTCATTAAGTATCTTAGATCACAGTGCTGCAATCCACAAAATACAACCAGTGTGTGTAAAATTCCTATCTAAACTGTGTCTTAGGAGAATGATCTCACAATACATACCACATCTGCATTTTCTGAACTTCACCTGCAATAAATAGGAAAGAAAAATATTTAATGCCATGATCATACTGAGTGTTATCTTTAGTTATGGCACTGACTGACATGGTTTAACTGCAATCAGTACAGAGAAAAGCAGAAAAGAATATTAATTATTAAAACATTATTTGATGATGCCACAGAAAATCTCGGACTTTATACTTTGTGACAAAAGCTAGCCCCTTTCACCCTTCTTCTGACTCAGTGGCACATCAGGCAAACCTGTCTGGCCTCGAGAAGCGTGCACAACCTTTATCACATGCCACTTATGAAAACTTGTATTTTTCACTAAGATGTTCTCTGTTTCTAGAGACTATGGTTGAGAAATAACTTGAGTATAAGACCCAAAGTTTGAGGTGGTAGAAACCTTAGTGTGTCCAGCTTGAGGATGTTTAGTGTTCAGCCAGTAACATTTTAAAAACATGAGGACCAGTGTAAATTAGAAGCAGACACCTTAATGGGATCGCTCATAAAGCAGAACACAAAGTTGTGACACAGTGGTGTAAGCTGTCTTGAATCAAAGGAGCTGATCTATTGAGAGCTCACCAAGACCAGCTGGACTGTGACTGAAAAAGCATGGGATAAAACTGGACTCTCTGAACATGGCGAACAATGAGGGCTGATGAGACGCAAAGGACAATGGCACGGGGGTTTGATCCTACGTAATGTGCTGGCTTTGTGGGAGCCTAGCCAGTTTGGATGTTCACCTTCCTAGATATGGACGGAGGTGGGAGGTCCTAGGTCTTACCACAGGGCAGAAAACCCTGACTGCTCTTTGGACTGGAGAGGGAGGGGGAAAGGAGTGGGGGGAGGGGGAGAAGAGGGGGAGGAGGGGGAGGGAAATGGGAGGCTGGGAGGAGGTTGAAACTTGTTTTTTTTTTCTCCTTTTCTCAATAAAAAAAATATAAATAAAAAAAAAGAAAAACATAGGGAACATACAAAAAAATTCATACATTGTTGACATTATCAACTTCTAATATAATTAACTGTTGATTTAGCATCAACCAGGAATCCAAAATTTTCTGTTCTTTTAGTTAAATAAATATTATTTATTTAGCTATTTTGTGTGTGTGTGCTGCTGTAGGAATTCCTACAGTTAGTAGCCTTTAAGTTACCCACCCATCTGGGCGTGGCCTCTTACACAATAAATACCCATGTAAACTCACATCCTGCCTCTCTTCTGGCTACAGAATTCAGTTGCTGTTCCTTGTTTGAGCAGAGAACTGTAAT